TTCCATTTGAATCTCACGTCATTTTCTATTTTTCTCCATTTTCACGCTACTCCCAAATCTCCATCTTCCATTTTCTCCTCCTCCTTTCACCCTTGTAGTAGCCCGTGATTGTTGTCGTCGCCACAGTCGTGAAACTTATCCCCATCGTAGCCGTAAACCTCGTTGTCGCCATAGCTCGTGAACTAGTCGCCACCGCAGCAGCTCGTGAATGTCCAGTGAGCCTGTCGTCGATGAGTCATCTGCCATTAGCAAATATGTTCGTCGTCCGCTGTTAGCAAATTCGTCCGCTGTGAGCTGTTGCAGATCCATTTGTCATTGACCCGTCCTTTGTTGTCGTGAAGCCAATCTTACTGAATCAGGAAAGAAAAAACAAAACAAAAACAAACAAAAAGACCAACTCGACAACCCAACCTGGGTTGGGTTGGTCATTCATTTCGGGCCAGTCGATTCCCAAAGATGGTCAAACCAAAAATTTAGGTTGGTCCCAATAATATCCCTAATCTGACCCAACTCAACCTATGAACACCCTTAGCCTAGCTAATTCATGGGCTTAATTCAATGGGCCAAAATTGGATCGAGCTTGAATTAACCCATATAATAAATTATTTTTTAATTATTAAAATTATTTTTCCAAACAAGTTGTTTGAGTTTTAGAATTTGTGTTTTTATTTTATTTTTTAAAAAGTTATCAATTATTATATCATATTTTTATAAATTTATTTATTTGATTTTAAAGAAATAAATTGTATTTCTATATTAATATAAAAAAATTTAGTGGAATAAGAATGACAAAAAATAATTACCTTAAATACTATATATATATAATTGGACTATATTGGATCGAGTCTTTGGCCTACCTAACTTAAAAAACAAAGATCATATCCAATCCAATTTATGGATAAGGTTGGCTGGGTCGGGCCGATCAAATATTGACCTTCGACCAGACTTATATCGAGCTTAGGCTGGACTTGGGTCGGCCTTTGGGCTTCGTGCCCAATGATGAGGTTGATTCTCATTCCTAGTAAGTCAATTTATTTCTTTAAAATAAAATAAATTAAGTTGTAAAAATATGATATAACCAAATTTATTGATAACTTTTTTAAAAATTAAAAAAAATACAAATGCATAAAACAAAAACACAAATTCTAAAACTCAAGGACTTTGTTTAGAAAAATAATTTTTTTAATAATGTTTAATAATTAAAAAATAATTTATTATATGGACTATTTCAAGTTTGATTCAAATGGTCGATCCAACTTTGACCCATTGAGTTAGGCTCATGGATTGAGCTATGGGCACAAGCTTTTGTAGTTAGACCGACACAAACTTGACCTAAACAATGCTTTATGCCCGTAGAACTTAGGCTTGGACCAAACTTAGACCTTTGCTTCTTTGGGTCGGACTGGGTCAAGTCAGCCCAATGATGAAGGTGAGTCGTCAAGAGATGCTGGAAAGTGTTATACACTCAATCATATGAAACAAACACACACTGAACAATTTATGACTCGTTTGGATAACATTTTCGTTCTGATTGATAAACATAAACATTGGGTAACTCTTTTAATTTCTTATTTCAAATTTTTAACAAATATTTTCAAAATTATGTAGAAATTTAAATAAATAAATAAATAAACAATAACAAAACTAAATTTCTTAATTCTAGTTCCCGAAATTTTGGAGAAAAAAAATCACAAAATCAAGTTTCTTTGATTCTAGTCCCTAAAATTTTGAAAAAGATGACATAATCAAGTTTTTTTTATATATTATATTTTGTATTCAGTAACGAGTAGTGTGGTTCAAAATCATTTTTGTTTGTTAATTTTAGTTTTCGTTTCTAATTTTTTCTAAATCATAAATAAAAGCATAATTCATTTCATATTGGCTTATAAAATGCATAATAAATATTAAAAATATATATATAATTAAAAATTTTAATTTGCATATAAAATTTATACTTTTGTTTTTATTTAAATTTTAGAAAACAAAAAACAAAAAATGTCACTAAACAAGTTTATAATAATAATAATAATAATTGTTTAAAATATATATATGTATATAATAAAAATGAAAGAACAAGAAACCATTACCAAAAATCATTCAATTTTCTTTATTAAAAAACATGAAACAAGAAATAAGAATCTTAGCAAGACATTGGACATTCAGCCACTGAAATAAAATATTTGATGGATATTTATGAAAAATTTATAGAAATCAATAAATTCATATATATATATATATATATATATATATATATATATTTTAAATTAACAAATAACTTTTCCAATGTACACCAAAATATCAAGAGTGAGAGATTGAAAAAGAAACTAATTAGTGCAGTGCATTATCTACTAAATTATTTTCGGCAAAAATTCACTCACTTTAGACAAGTTAGATTTTTATTAGTAAAATATACTTTTGATCTCACTTAAAATATAAATTTTTACTTGGTCTTCTGTGTTTTAGAAACTGAAAAAGAAAGTAACTAGTGTAGTCCCAAACCTTTAGAAAATAGTTTTAAGAAGTCTCACAAATTAAACTTTTGTTGATGTGACCGACGTGAGAGTTTGAAGAAAGAAGTGGTATTTACTGACATGTTAATTTTAAATGACCTGCCATTTGATAATAGTAAGAAAAAGTGAAGCCAATGGTTGGAGTGAAAAATGCGAACATAACATATGTGGACTAATTAAGTTGCTTCGGCAAGGTCAAACCCATCTAACTAGCTTGAGGGGGAAGACCGACCTACCACATAAGTCGAGCTGAAGACCAAACCAACGGAGAATTGCTTAAGTGCTCTCCAACCGACCTGAAGATACTGACTTCAAGCCCGACAACCGCCTGATAGCCCTTAACCGCTGGTCGGAGCAGTTCTAACAGCCCTATCCCCCTCCACTACCTATAAAAGGAATACAAACCAACGGAGGATTGCTTAAGTGCTCTCCAACCGACCTGAAGATACTGACTTCAAGCCCGACAACCGCTTGATAGCCCTTAACCGCTGGTCGGAGCAGTTCTAACAGCCCTATCCCCCTCCACTACCTATAAAAGGAATACAAACCAACGGAGGATTGCTTAAGTGCTCTCCAACCGACCTGAAGATACTGACTTCAAGCCCGACAACCGCTTGATAGCCCTTAACCGCTGGTCGGAGCAGTTCTAACAGCCCTATCCCCCTCCACTACCTATAAAAGGAATACTTCTCCACTCATTCAGGTACGTCATTATGTCCGAACACGACTTACAGTAGTTCGAACTCTTACCAATCAGAGTGTCTGTTCCCTTTGTGTAAGTCACTCCTGAAAATACTGACTTCGGGCCCGACAACCAACTTGAGGTTGCCTGATAGCCCGTAACTGCTGGTCAAAGCAGTTCTAACAGCCCTATCCCCCTCCACTACCTGTAAAAGGAATACTCCTCTACTTATTCAGGTACGTCGTTCTGTCCGAACACGACTTACAGTAGTTCGAACACTTACCAACTTGGACTTCAGAGTGTTTGTTCCCTTTGTGTAAGTCACTCCCTGTGGGTGGCTCGCTCCTCTTTAGCTCACTCTAGTTCGATGCAGGCTGATCTATCCAAATGAAGGATTTAATGTGACTCGAGGACTTGTGTTACAAAGTAGCTGGGTGAGATAGAGGAAGGATTTAATGTGACCTTCGCACGTGGCAGGTCAAGGATATACTAGATGAAATTTATGTAAATTTTTTTAAGAGCACAGTTGCAAATATGACAAAAACATTTAGTAAAATTAACAAAATAGAAACAACATTTAGTTCTCTTTCAAATGTAACACTTTAATAAAAAAGACGAAGGTACAATTTTAAAATGACAACTTTACCCAAATGATATATATGTGTAATATATCTGACTATTGATATATGTATGTGATATACATCTAATATACTACTGATATGAGTATCTATATACTTGCAATATGTATGTGATATACGTCTGATATACTACTGATATAAATGTCTGATATACTTGCAATATGTATATGATATTTATCTAATATACTACTGATACGAGTATCTAATATACTACGGATGTGAGTGAAAATTTTTGCTATATTTGTAAATTTTAAAAACATGTGACATATTTTGAAATACATAAAAGATTTTTGACAACCACTGTCATTTTCATTTTTTAAAATACATATATAAGCCCACTTAAAAGAAACCAAATAAATAAATATATATATATATATATATATGTAGACAACTCTTAAAAATCCTCCCATAATAAAAATAATTAAAAAATAAAACTAATAAAGGAGAATTATGCTCGTAAAAATGCTCCATGAATTTTTAAGCATAACTCTATTTGTACGATTAATTTATTTGACAGCATAACTCCGCAATAATTGGCATATATCTACACCCTAGAGGTTATGAATTCGGTCTCCCACCCCATATGTTGTACTAAAAAAAAAATTTTATTTAAAAATATTGCTAGGTCAATATATACACATTTTTAATAATAGGTACTTCTTAGAGCAAGACCATAACATTTAAAAGAAAACACAGTATTTAGAAAAACAAAATGCAATATTTGGCCAAGCCAAGCAAAATCCCAAAACAATTTGAAGCTCATGAAGCAAATTTCTTCTCACTGACATCATATCTCCATCAGAAACCACAAACAAATTCATGATTTTAAAAGGAATGACCAGTTGATTCATGAGAATACATTAAAAGAAAATAAGAAAAGAACTCTTAAAAAGTAATAATTATTCAAAACACTTTCTTCATAGAATTTGTTTTGAAAAGCCAAACAACTATCTCAACAGGACATCTATACAATCTTTTTAATGACCATAGGATCTACAGAATGGAAAAATGAAGAAGGATAAATAACTTTCTCAACCTAACCCAAATGAACCACTGCCCAACATTCAAAGTTCATCATAGGATCTATTCATAAAACTTGTTTTTGTTTCTAAAATTCAACTAAGAATTCAACTTTCTTTGTAAGAATGGTGAAAATCATATAAAATTAAATTGAGAGGAAGCATAATTTTTACCCCAGAAATCTAAAAACGAAATGGTCATCCTCAAATCAACTAAACAGCTCAATAGCTGACCTAAGGATCTACAAAAATGAGGAAGGATCAGTGTGAAGGCATGATCAATGAAGGAAGAACGCAAGCAGAAAACAAATGTTTGAAGCAGAGGGAGATGCTACAGAAGAACAAATGTCGGGCGAACTCTAGGTTATCATCCAATGCTAGAATGCAACCCACGCCTTTTATTCATACCCGTTGCTCTTGCTCTTAAGAACAATCTCTGTAGAAGAGGTTGCGAATGTTCAAAATGCGATCACTCTCGCAAGAACAGGGGCCCTCTTCTGTAATTTCTCCTCCCTCAACCTCAAACATCGTCTCTACCTACACAATCTTCCTTCTCAGACCTTTTACTTATTCAACATCATATCCTCGATCAGTGTACTACGCGAAGACTTATATACAGAAAGCGAATCAGATTTCGCTTTGACTCGGAAAAAGAAGAAAGAATCGCGGAATAATGAACAGAAATCGTACATGGCAATGGAAATTAGTAGGTCCAATGGCTGCGTAATTCCAAAATGTTGAGTGGATTAGAGCGTAGAACCTGAATGACGAACCGGAGAGAGCCGATTTGAACGCTGGTACATGGTGGGAGTAAAGCTTTTGAAGGCTCTGCAATGGCGGCTACTTTGGCTCGCGAACTCTCGATATGATCAGAAAGCGATGTCGCTATAAATGGTTGTAACTCAATGATCAGGTTCGCTCCATACGACAAATTTGGGCAACAATGGCCCAAAAATCAAAGACTCCATCATAATCTCCAACAGATATTCAATCGATTCCAATCCTGATACAGAAAGGAATGTCCGACGGAGAAAGTGCTCGATCGGACAGAAATTTTAGGGCTTCGTATTTACAGAACCAATTGATCAAGAAATCAACAGAATAAAGCCATAGATTTACCTGTAACGACAGTTTAGGGATTCAGAGACGATGATCAGGTGAGCGTAAACGATCTCCAAAAGCGAAGCCATGAACTCGAGTGTGCCCTAGGGTTCGGTTCTTCGTCCGAAACTCTAAATCGAAGGAAGCTTCGGAGAATGGAATAATGTCCCTTTGACGTCAACACTCACGTCACTGAGCCGAACGGTAATATTTCATTTGAAATTTGAATATTTTTCAAAGGGCAGCAAATGATTAATAGTTACTTTTGAAAAATTTATAAATTACATGATTGTTTGAGCACGAAATTGGCACTCAACCTTTCGTAAATTTTAACGGAGTAAATGTTAACGGAGAATAGCTGTGCCAAAAAAAAAAAAACACTCTGATGTTCAAGTTAGTTTAGGTCTAAACTAATTTAGTCTCAAATCAAGTCAAGAATCACTAGTATTTATAAGCGAGTTTACTCCTATTATTTATAGGCATTTCACTACCGGTCATTCAATGCCTGCGATATTCCCTCTAGAGATAATGGTGTTGGTGCACCTTGAAGATCACGCAAGTATTAACTATTTGTGGTGGATATGGTGATAATTCGTCCGAAGATTGCATGTATAACCATGCCATAAGATCTTTGGTGCATAATCTGTTTAATGTTCAGTGGCGTCGTTAGACGATCTTCGTATGAAGTTCTAAGTGTTGTTCGACCACTTGTGGCCTTTGTTCGATCATTCAGTTTATGGTTCAAAAGCACACTGATTAGCTCATCGGGATGGCGGCACCTGTCCTATTCAGAACTCACCCTCATCAATGATGGTTATATATTTGAAATTTGATTATGACCCTGTTCACTAATATTTTGTAATTTTTCTTAAAAAGTATTCATCTGGTTATGCTTAAATTTTAAATATATATATTTTAGCCTCCTAATTTTAAAAATAATAATGTTTAAATCTTTATTTTAATGCATGTTATTCCTGTTTTTCTCTATTTTATTATATATATCATTTTGTAGTTCAATAATATGAGGGTGAGAATCTGAAAGTTTGACCTTTTGGTTGATAATATATGTTCTAACTAATTAAACTATTTTCGTTAAAATATTAAAAAGTTTTCTTTTAATATATAATTAGTGTTTTAGAGTTTTGCAAATATAGAATAAATGGAACATTTTGAAACTACATTGACCATAAATATAGACGTTATGAAGGTACATTAACCCAAATGAAAAAAAAAATAATACAATACTAAATGAACATTTTAAAAATCAAAATAAAAATGTAGCGGTCAAAATAAGATACAAACCAAATAATAATTATTTTAGTTCTTGATATTATTATTATTTTTATTTAATATTCACCCACTCAATACTAACTTCGATCAACCTGGCATACATTAAACATATTAATAAACATACTCAAACTCATGTTTTTCATACCTTCAAAAAGGCTATGTTTTTCATTAGTTAAAAAACTAATTAAAATAGTTTTTCTTTTGGTAAAGGTTAGGAAGGTTGAAACTTCATGAACTAAAATGGAATGAAAAAAGATTTAAGAATCAAAATTGAATTTTAATATTTTGAATGAATATATTTAGCACGTGTTTGTTAAAAAAAAATAATGATTTATTTACCGACCTTTCTTTGTTTTATAATCTATTGCCAAAACTTGACTAATATTTAAAAAGTGAATTTGATTAATATTAGTAAAATAAATCTGGAGCGTGTAGATTTGAATTTTCAGTGGAATATTTTTTTAGTACATCAATAATGGGGAAGGATATTTGAATTTTTAATCTCGCACAATGTTACTCTATATATTAATTAGTTGAACATCGAGATTTATTAGGAGAAAAAGTATAAAGTTTTTGAATTTAAACAAAAGGATAGAGTTTGATGCATTTATGACTAACACATAACTTCAATAATCGAAATTCCATTAATGACATAAAAAAATGGCACGGATAATTTGACAAGAAATTCCATCAAATGTTCGTTGTTTAATATCTCGGCTGCTCAAGAAGTTGAATTACGAGCAACCACTATCGGCTACTATCGAACTATACATGTTTGCCTCCCTTAAACGCTCCTGGTGCTACGACTATCACCGATAAGTTGTGTCGAATCAACATCAGGATTAGAATCTATTGTAAAAGCAGCCATTGAACTAGATACATCAAGACTACCTAAATCGTCATCCTTTTTTTCTCCATCCTTCAAGATATTTGATTGGTCTAAAGAACAACAGATTGAGCAGAACATAACAATTGGGAAGGAAGCCACATTATGATTATGACATTTTATTTTGGTCTTGACTTGCTTTGAAAAACATATAGATATAATTTGCATTAAAAAAAAAGACTTTTGGGTGTCGATACAATTCTTTATGATATCTAGATGGCGAGTCTCTTCTTCGATAGTAACCCACCATCGATGATCATGTAAAAAAAGATTAGCCGATTAAGGATATGAAATTAGCCGTTAATTAATTAAGTATAATATTTAAAAAAAAAAAGAAGAGAAAAAATTAAATGAGAATGAGATAATAAGTTAAAAAAAGAATTAGAGGAAGGAGAGGGGAAGATGACTTGGGCAATAATTAACAGAGCAGCCAACAAAGGAGAGGAAAAAATAGCCAATAGGAAATGAGGAAATACTACGAAATAGGGTATCT